TTGGTACTCACTGCCTGGTCATCAATGGCGCTCATCGTCGTCTCCATTGTTTTTCCAGTCCCGATTTTCTTGCATGAAGGTTTAGGAATATCTTATTAATTAACCTCATTCGGGTGTACATGTATGCAACTGGGTATTCAACAATTACTGTAACGTTACTGTATGAACCAAAACTTTTGACGTCAAAGTTAAAAGCATGGGCTTGAACTTTGGATATTGAATATCAAAATTAGCTTACCATCAAAATTTTATTAAAATTAGTAAGTCTACGAACTTTATGATTACTCCAATTAAGAAATTTTATCTATTATAAAAAAAAATATTTATTCAAAAAAATTTATTTAATTAAATATTATAAATCAATCATTAAAATACTATAATACACCTATAAAATAATAAATTTCATGTGTTTACTTAAGTTCAAACTTTAAAATTTTTTAATAAAATATAAATATTTTAGCTCCTATACTATTGTATTGTAAATTATATCGATTTAAATCACCGAATTTACATCTATAGAACTTTTGGGCTATACACATTTATAAAAGTAATGAAGTCTATATTAACTTTTGTTTTGTTTTGTTATTCATGAAATTCTTATTAACTTGATTATGCAATAATTTACTAAAAAAAAATACTCTCATGCACCAAATAGAACTTTTTTTGTGTGCAGTGAGAGACAAAAGACAAAAGAAAATTAAAAAATCGTCATATACATCCGGAACTAAGAGATACCCGTGATATCGTCAGTGAATAGCTATTGGAGATCATTCAACACTTGAACATGAGAATGGAGGTCCATCGGTAGAAAGAAGCTAGTATTCGTCAACCAATCAGCGCATTTATCTCCTTCACGATAGACATGTTCGATCCGAACTTATCAATCCTACAATAGCAAGTGTTTGATCTCACGAATGAATGCAGCATGCGCATTAATATTGTAATCCTCCTTAGTAAGTAACTGCACTGCTAAAGTGTTATCTATTTTCAAAATAATACTACGAAACCAAGCATTTTAAGCGAGTTGAAGACCATCAAAAGCACCCTAAAACTTAGCCTAAAGAACAGAGCATCTGTCAATCTTCTTGTTAAAGCTTCTCAGGCAAGCACCATTTTCATCCCTAATAAGTTCGCTACAGCAAGCGAGATTGGTTACAGGACGATAAGCACCATCAGTGTTCATCTTCAACCAACCTCTGGTGTGTTTCTTCCAAGCTACAAGTTCTTCCAATCTGTACGTCATACCTTGAAAAAAAAAAGATTTATATTATTAGCCATATAAGTATAATCAGTCATGAGGGACACATCCTTAGTAAACTCATTGATATTGTTTTTCCTCTCTTGGAAAATAAATTTATTTTTATAGTTCCACAAACTCCAGCAAATAAGGCCAAAGATCACTCTTCAATCCTGAAATGTCTTGCACCAATGCTAATTATTTTTAAGGTTCAGCATGAACCACTCATCCACAGTACCACAGAAGAAAGTTGATTGAGCTTCAGCAGGTATGATCTTCAACCACAACGGCTTGGTCACACTGCAATTACGGAGAACATGATTCACATCCTTAATAGGATCATCACACCTACTTCATTCTGCAGTAGATTACATGTGACGTCGATATCTCTCCTAATTCATCAAAAGCTTCCCGTTAGCAGCTAACTAGAGGAACATATGCACCCGTTGAGTACCTAGCCAACTGTCAAATGTCTTTCCAATTCCTATCCTCTGGGTACCAATGATCGCTCTCCAGAAGGATGTAACCTGAGCTAACCTAGAAACACCTAGAGCTCGTCATACCCCAAAAAGAAGAGTCCAGGATATTGTCATCTTTAGGAGCCAGTATTGCTACCATCTATAGCGGCGTACCCATTGGCAACATCCGGTTTAGGGCCTCCTAATCCCATTAGCCGAATGATACCACGTAGTCCTTGACACATTTATGGAGATCTTACTCATCAATAGGTGCGAAAGCTAAAAGCTTAAATGATCCCAGATCCCCTAACTAGCAGTCTTCCCAAAACTTAACATTTTTCCCCAAACCAATAGACCATTTGATGCCAACTCGAAGGTCCATCCATAGATGGTTAAGATTGTGCCAAAGATGGGAGATTGGTCTCATCAGCTTGTAATTCTGCGATAAACTAGGTCATCTGTACTTGTGGGTGAGGACCTGAACCCATAGGGGATCGGGCTTTGCAACTATAGTAAAGCCTAATTTTATTAAGAAAGCTTGGTTTTACTTGTGGATAGACTGAAGGCCGCTTCCCCTAGTGTCGTAAGGCATGTACATGTCATCTCAACTAACAATGTTGATTTTTCGATTGTCATCCCCCTGGCCCCAGAGAAACTTCATGACCACCACTTCAATATGATTACATAGGAATTTAGGCAAAGTTGTGGTCTACATAGCGTAAGCATGGATAGTGATGAGGACGGACTTGGCCAAAGTTAAACGCTTTGCAAAGGAAAGGAGGTTAGCATTCCAGCTAGATAACTTTTGGTTAATCTTCTAAATGATGTAATAATAAGTATCTTTATTGACTCTATTATGTTACAATGGAACTCTCAAATACTTACCAAGATGATTGGAGACTTGAAAATTAAATATCTTGTTAATACGACTAGCCTCACTTGTGGTAACATTACGAGAAAAGAAAGTAAGTATTTTAATCGCACTCACTTTATGACCTGAGCTAGCATAGTATTCCTCTAAGACATTCTTTATAACCTGAGTCTGGTCCTCAGTGGCTTTCCCAAGAATTACCAGGTCATCCACAAAAAAGAGATGTGAGAGGATAGGACCCTTCTTACCAAGGTGGATCGGCCTCTACCTATAATTTCTTACCTAAATATTGGTGTAATGTGATAGTCGTTCCATGCATAACACAAATATATAGGGTGAAAATGGGTCCCCTTATCGAATGCCTTTAGTAGGCCAGAACTCCTAAGTGAGACACCCATTCCACAATAATTACATGGATCAAAAGGATATACACTACATGATGACTCAAATAAGGTTAGGAGGGAGACCAACATCAAGCAGAGTGTCCTCCACATATTTCTAATGGATACAATCATAAGTTTTTTCTAAATCCACCTTAATGGTCATTCACTTGTCTTTCCCTTGAAAATGTCGCAGAAAGTGGACCACTTCTTGGGCAATAATAATGTTATTCGTGATATTCCTACTGGCTACAAAGCTAGCTTGGGTACGGTCAACCAAAAAAAGCATTAAGTTCTTGAGTCTATTGACAATGAATTTAGTAACACTTTTATATAAAACCATTAATAAACTGATCGGACGAAATTCTTTAATAGTCTCTACTCCCGCAACTTTACGCATGACGGTAATAAGGGTCTTGTTAATCTCAACAGGTAACTATTCGCCATGGAAGATACCCTTGAGCATTGCGCAAACCGACTCACCTATAATCTCTCATTGGTTCTGGAAGAACACCGCGTGAAGGTCATCCACTATGGGGGCCTTTAACGGGTGCATGCTAAATAAAATATCATAAATTTTATCATTCGTTATCCTAAAGTCTAACTGAGAAACCATAGTAGCTATTAATTTCAGGAATAAGCCTTTAACAGAGTAATGTGGTATGGGTCCCTCTTCGGCTATATAAAGGTGCTCAAAGAAGGTGGAGGTTGTTATCCAAAACTGGCCCTCATCGGTACTCCAATTACCGTCCCCATTCTTAAGCATACTAATTTTATTCTTTTTCCTTTTAAAGATGATTTGAGAATGAAAGTATTTGGTGTTCCTGTCCCCTAGAGAAATCCAATTATATTGGGATTTTTGCTTCCAGAGCATTTTTTCTTATAGTAACACCCCCTCTAATTCCTCTTTTAAGGATTTGTCCAACTCTTGAACCTTAACAAAGTGGTGTCTTTCTAGCGCCTATTGGATCTCATTCAGTCTTATTAGGAGGATGCGTTTTCTCTTACTAATATGGTCAAACACATTTATATTATAGTCCTGCACAGTCTCGCTGAAATTACTAATGTTCTCTTGGATGGAGAGATGTTTTTGCCAATTTCTTCTAACCAAGTTAAGAAAATAGGGATGAGATAGCCACACAACTAAAAATCAAAAGGGTTCGAGATGCTTATTGTGAGTGTGATGGGTGTAAGGGATAATCAGGAGAGACCTAATAATCATATTGCACTTTTGAAATATGGTGAATGATGGCCTATGAGAATTAGTTGAACCATCTCTGGTTACAGATAGTCTATCAAGCCGTTGAAAAAGGGTCTCACGTCACCATGCAAAATTCGGTCCTATATAATCAAGCTGTTATAAGGAATTGACATCAATGAAGTAGTTAAAGAGAGCACAACCTTTAGACCGTTTAGCCACCCCCCCTCTTTGGTCCTCCAAATCCAAAATAGCATTGAAGTCCCTAACAAAGAGCCAAGGGCGATCCATGTGATGCCCAATAATGGTGAGCTCCTCCCAAAGGTCTTTATATTTATGAGGATTTGGGCTTCCATAAACAATAAAAAGGGAGAAGTCCTCCCAACCATCATTCCTGTTAATCTTAGAATAGATAAACTGACAGTGATTGTAGTCCACATTAATATGGATAAACTCTTTTCACATTGTTTAAATGTTCCCCAAAAATCCAACTGCTTCAACTTTGTGAGAGTAGTCGAATATCAGGTTTTTGATCACTTTATTTGCTTTTTTGCCTACCGTCCTAAGCTCCAACAATGCAACCAAAGCAAGGTTGTGGACATTGACAAAGGACTTCAGGACACGCTAGAGACCAATTTTTGCTGCACCCTAATAATTCCACACAAGAAATGAGTAATCCATAGGGTAAAAATAAGGGAACAAAGGAGCTTATGCTCAAAAGAAGAACTATGTTTGCTCCTTTTGAAGGGCATCAATAGCACTCGAAATGGGTCTTACATCCTTGTTGACAAGCTCTTGAATTTTGGACATAAAGGAGTTGATCGTAGTGGAAGTAGTGGATGTAGGTGTCTCATCCCCTTTTTTGGACTTGACTTTTTTAAAAAAAATCTTATTGATTTTTATATCTTTATTGATACCAAGTCTATCCAGTGATTTGACTACCGGCCTTAAACAATCCCTTAAAGAGATCGTTCGTGACATGGAGCTATGGGAGGAGGACTGATTGAGTTCGTGGTCTTAGTCCATCTTATCCTTAATTATTACAACAGTATTTTTTGAAGGTTCCAGCATAGTAATACCTTCCCTTATTACAAACTTCTCATTGTAAGTCATTCCTATGCCACGGGGGTTGATGCGTCCCTTTGTCCTGCTAGATTCTCTAATTATATTAGTCATGGGCATCGCACATCCAATGGTGGGCTTAGTATTGGCCAGTATGGTAGAACCCATGATTTCAGGGAGGGCATCCATCGTCTTCTAATTATTGTTTTCCACCACAACATTTTCCTTTTATTCCTTGGGGATTGTCTCTTATTTGAGATCCCCACATGTTTAGGAGTTTTTACCACTAGCCAATTTGGTCCTTCTAAGGCTCCCTCCATGTCCGCAATCATATTAAATCTTGATTTATTCTTATTATTCTCTTTTGGAATATCTGAGTCCTTGCTCGGCAAGATAGGAGTTTTACTTCCAACTTTCCTCCTCTTGCGTTGGACTTGCATCCAGAAACCATAATTTTCATCTAGCATTGCCACATTATCTTGTTTACCGGTACCTGTGCTTCCACATTGACTCAATCTCTATCTCAGCTTTTTTCTTGTACTGGTCTTTAAGATGTCCATATACTCCGCAGTCGAAGTATATAATAAGCAATCCCTCATATTCCACTCTCTGTAGGCGCCCATCCAACATGAACTTAGAAATGAGTGGTTTAGTCAGATCAATTCCAACTGCCAATTAAGCAAACTTGCTCTGTTCAGTAGATTCAGTGTTATAGTCAATGCAAAAGATCTTCCCTATCACCCTGGAGATAGCTCTGAGTACATTTTTATAGTAATAATGGATGGGGAAACCAAGAAATCGCACCCAGTCCACCATATTAGTGACATTCGGATTTGCAGTAGAGAAACTGGGGGACCAAGGCTACACTATAAGGTAATGGCCATATATAATCCATGGGCCATCCGTAAGAACGTGTGTGTAGTTCTTTGTCGAGTGGAATTTGACCATGTAGTAATCATTATCTAGGTCAATCAGGTGTAATTGATCATTAGGCTTCCACAGGTTATGAAATTTTGCCCATAGTGTTTTATACTCAATCGACTTCCCAAGCAGTTGAATAATCACTGGAAGTTTCATATTTTGCACTATAAGGTTATGCACCTTATTCGAAAAACTGATTCTCGGTATTTTATTCTCTATCTCAAACTCAACATCCCCATCCTTGATCTCAATTTCACCTCGGCTGTTAGCAATCTGATGACTATTTATGAGTTTATTTTTAAATGGGACTTTCACATTTGGTGCTCCCTGCGGCGAAGGGGATTTCCCAAGGTGTGTTGTTTGTGGTATCTCGTCTATAATTTGCTTAAGGTTCATCACCTCTCCGCCTATTCCATAAGACCCATCCCCAATCAGAGTATCCACCATAGTTTCATCTTCAACATCAAACTTTTCCATACCTGACCGGAACAAGGTTTGGGGCGCCGGTCGGGTCGCACCAAAACAGGGGAAAACCACATATGTTGTTGGCTTACCTTCAACTTGCATTGCCTCCATCATCGGCTCATCCTCCGCAACCACCACCTGAATCGTGCTCCGGAATGCAGGTGGGGTCGCGCTCCACC